CGATGAGACACTGGCGCGTGGGTTGAGTCGAGTGGAACTGCCGGTGCTGTGCGAGTGTCCGCTGCAGTCGGAACCGTTTGGCGCAACCGTTCCAATCGCACACAAACTCGCCGCCGCACGTGTCGCTCGAGTGGCCGGTTATGTGCTCCTCGATCTCCTCGCGTACGGCACTCCTGTAGTCGCAACCGTTCTTCGAGCACCGGTACTCGTCGGCCAACAGGTGGGTGCCTGCCCTCACGTGCTCGCGAAGGTTACTCGAGTGGCCGAAGTGTTTGCAGCAGTTCTCGAAGTCGCAGAAAAATCTTCGGCCCGAATGAATGACTTTATGCTCATTAAGACTGCGCCGATCGGTGTATGACTTCTCACAGCCCGCGAAGTCGCACAACAACTTCTTCGGCCACGACTTTCGCTCAACGTATTCATCGTCTGAGTTATCATCCATTTCCTCATCCATTAACGGATTGTGATCATCGACAGTGTCGGTGGCAGTGGTGGTGGTGTCCGCCTGTTCCCAGTCCAGCGAATGGCTGGTCTTGAAGTGTGCGATCAAACTGTGCTGTGTTTTCGTGTCGTACGTACAGCCGTTGTATCCGCACACGAATGGCTGTCCAAACGCGTGGGCGCCTGACTTCAAGTGTTTATTCAAGCCGTCGATTCGCGCGAAATGTTTGCTACACTTCTTGTGGACACAGAAATATCTTTTGTACGAATGAGTACTCGATTGGTGTCTCTTGAGGTACGTTATACTGTTGTATGTCTTATCGCACCCGTTGTAACCGCAACAGTATTGGCCATCAATTAGAACCACTTTGCCATCGCTTCCAACGTCTGAATTATCACCCATTGATTCATCGGCTCTTGCTTTAGATCGTGTGGACCTCTCGCTGTCTATCACTGGAATAGTTGGATCAGTAGCTCCGGTACTCCTATCAGATCTCCTATCCTTTCTCGGCGTATGAGTTATGATGTGTTTCTCTAAAACACTGCGAGTTTTGGTCACGAAATCACATCCGCCGACACCACAGCTATACGTCTGTCCGAACTCGTGGTCGCCATTCCTCTTATGCAACCGCAACGAACTCGAGTGACTGAAATGTTTGCAGCACTTCTTGTAATCGCAATAAAACCGTTTACCGAAATGTGACATCTGGTGCTCTCGCAGACCTTTTTGGTCACAATAGGACTTCTGGCAGTCTCTGTAGTCGCAAACGTATCGCTCATTAATCTTCAATTTTTTCGCCACACTTTGTGGCATATGTTCGTCAGTTATGTCTTCGTCGTGTTTTCTCTTATTAACGGTATTTACGATCAGATTATTGTCCAAAACAGTCACCGACTCGTCCACGCCTTGGTTCACATTCGTATGATTCAACTGATGTGCCAATAGATCCTCGGTATCATCAGTCATGTAATCACACCCTTTCCTATCGCACAGATATTTCTGGTGCTCCGACATCAGGTGATGGACCAGTTCTGAGCGCTTGGCGTACGACGTGAAACAGTCGGTGATATCGCAACAGTAGTCCGGCCGCTGATGCGTCCGTTTATGAGCCTTAAAGTGATCGCTTCGGGCGAACTGTTTCGCGCAACCAATGAAGTCGCAGATCAAGAGTTTGTCACTATTCTGGTCCACCAATGGATGGCCGCGGATGTGCTCTAATAAGTCATCGCGCGATGCCGTCCAATACTTGCATCCATTGAGTCCGCACTCGTAGGGCTCGTCGTGGCGCCGGTGATCGCCGCACCTCTTGTGAGCCGTCAAGCGGTCAATGGTTCCGAAGTGCGCGCAACAGTTGAGGTGATCGCAGAAAAAGCGTTTGTCTGGATGTGTGTACGACTGGTGTCGACGCAGATTCGTATAACTCGAGAACGATTTGCCGCAGTTGTGGTGATCGCAGACACAGTTGCCCACCAATCGGACGCCCATTATCTGCTCCGAAAACACGCCCCTATAGTCACGTGGGATTGTCTTAACCTCTGGTGTTATGGCAAACGAGAGCCTCTTCTTCGGACACTTTGGTCGCAATCCGTAACCACTTGTGCCCACACTTCGAGGTCTCACAGCCGTGTCCTCGCATTCATCAGCGCTTCCGTAGTTGACGTCAAAGTCGTCCGATTGGTGGCCATCGCTGTCGGCGTCTTCCCTATCAGTAAACACTTCGCTCTTTGGCTGTCTATCGATTCCAATGAGTTGACTGTCGATCCACACGATATTCTTCTTGAGTCCCATTCTTAGCGAAACTAATGAATAGATAATGAAAAGTGAAATGAATTGAAAGCCATTGCCATTGGCTTACCATTGAGTGCATCGACAGCGACGACAGTCTTCTGTGCGTTCATATCAATCAAATCCAGTATCTCTTTCGTGACGCGACTGTCAATGTGTCCACTGTTTAGCAAATCCCGTAAATATTGTCTGCATTTCCGCGAAATGACAGCAAATGTCTGTAAATCTGTTTTCAAACAATTGTTTTCTCTCTTCAATGCGTTGACCACTGAATACAACTCCCGGCGACTCATGTCTGCCATCGAAGAGTAGGTCTCGTATGTCTCATCCATTTCGACCACTATTTGGCGATTAAATCATTAAATAAACTATTGATTAGTAATTAAATCATAAATTAATGACAAAAACTAAACTGTTGTGTCAAATGTGGGCAAAAAAAAACATAAACACACAATAAATCGGTTGAAACTTATTTTATATAAAACACAAATTACGTAATCAGAGTAAGTTAAAAATCCTATTGAAAACCATGCATTTTATAACCAAGGGTACACATCTATCGCAAAAACCTATACGTTATATATGTATTCAAACATTTGGCGCAATATTTGAGTAAAAATTTATGATTAAAACGTGATTACAGTACAGTATAATTCAAATTTTTAGTTTATAAATACAAAAACGGTGTTTAATATTTTTTCAAAATAAGTTCATACATTTGATTATATAAGTTCATATACTAGTGTCAGTACAAAAAAATAATTGCTATATTAAATCATTTTTAGAAAATTTGCGAAATTTAAACTAAACAATAACTCTAATTAGACTCGCAATGAGTTTTACAAAACATGTGACTATTCATTGTAAATGAATTAATTAACTATTACTTATTAATAAGATATTAATCGCTTATAATTACTTTATAAAAAACATATTAATTATTAACTTTCTCTCATATCTTCACATTTCCTTCAGATGTCTATTCAAATGAAACCTAAATCGGGTCCGAAATGAACAGCCATTCTCTGTGCACTCAAACCAATCAATAGACGCTACCGCCCGGTGCTGTCGACTGACTCTGCGATGACTGCACACTCCCCTCGCTATCGCCAACTGATTTATGGCACTCAATGGACGCGTACGTAATGCTCCCATCATTTGCATGACTTCCGACTAAACTATGGTTACCGTAATTATCGTCCGAATGGTGTTCAGTTAAGTGCAACTGGAATACCGACTCGACGTTCGTGGCGTACCCGCAGTCGCGTCGATCGCACCGGTACTTCAAGTGATGGCCCGATAGGTGCCACCGAAGATGGCCGGCAGAGGAGAACACTTGCGAACAGCCCTCGCGATCGCACCGGTGGGTCACACGCGAGTGCATCTTCATATGGATCTGTAGGTGGAGTTTATTCGTGAAACTCTTTCCGC